GTGGACAATGCCCTAATTCATTGAAGTCTTACTGATACAAGGTCATTTTTAATATTCTGCCACTAGAAGTAGAATTCCTAACATTGTCTGCAAAGTCCACTTGCAAGTGGACACAGGAAGAGACACTGATGTCTCCATCACCAGTGGAGACAGAGTCAATATAGAAACTGGAATTTAGTGGATGATTCATCCAGCCAAGCATAGATATTTACCTTAGGATGAGAGGGATCATGCCCTGGGTTCTGCTGATTAGCTCTGAGCTGAGTTTAAAGAGAGTCTGAAGTCTGTCTCTGATTGTGTTTGCAGATATCACAGGTCACCTGTGAAATCAGAAGATGTATTCCATGTTGCTACTGGTTTATGTATTGAGTGAGTAGTGAGGGGTGAAAGGCTTTATCTCTTCTGCCTGATTAAAAAAAAACAAAAAACAAAAAACAAAAAAACAAAAAAACCCCACAATTAGTGATAACTAAAATGTTTTGCACCAAACAAGACCCTTAGTTATTTTGTCTTAGGAACCACAGACCAAATGACTACAGCAGATCCAGCTGGTTACTAATCCTATTCCCATTGGAAATGTGGAACTTTCCCCCCCATACCAATTCCTGATCAAAGAATATAAATGATTGACCCTTTCTGTTAACTCACATTTAAAGAACGCAAAGCCAAGAGATTGGTTTCTGTGCCATAAGGTGGACCTCTGCATGTCAGGAAATAGACCGCAGGCTAAGGAACGTCACCACCCTTCCTGATACTCAACACGCACTGCAGCTGGCAAGTTTACCAGCCACAGTGCATCTGGCCTCTCGTTACCAGAGTAACATCCCACACTTGGCAGTGAGTTCTGCCTTCAATGGTCTGGCCATGGCGTTGGTCAGCATTGCTCTGCTCTCCCTGGTGTTGAGATGTCTCTTCATCTGATCAATTGTTCACAACTCTACAGATGCACAAACATCTCGCTTCCAAATCAGGGTGTGAAACATTTGCACTCTAACACTGCCGAAGAGTTATTTGCTGCATTAAAGTGGCACTCCCATTCCTTTCTTACCAAATGCTTCACAGAATTGCTAAACTTTGCTAAATTTGTATCTCTTCTTAAAAATGTAATGTAGATGTGCATTCCCACTTTAAACAGATAGCTCTGCAAGCTAGACCCTTAACTGTGACAAGGTGGAGAATTTGTTATGAATTTTGCCATAGGGTTCAAAATGAGTTCTCAGTTCAAGGCTTGGTTCAGCAGTTCCTGATCAGAAGAAGCCTGTGTGAGAGCCCCATGGGGCAATGGGAGGTCCTGCCTTCCTGATGCTCCCTGTGCAGTTCCCAGGGAAAGTCAGCACTCACCATGGTTTTTAAATCAGTAAGAACTAGTAAGTTCTTCTGTAATTTTCTGTTGAGTAGTTGGTTTTGTGATGTTCTGAAACTGTACACAAAAGCTTTATGCACCCACATGTATGTATTTTTCACTAACAAGTGAAAGAAGAACTGGGTGGAAATTGAATGTTAAACTTCACAGTGGCAATACCAATACAAGAAAAGACAGGAGTCAGCACTGGACCTTGGCTGAGGAGTCAAACCATGAGGTCTCAAAAGCAGGTGTTAAAGAGAAGGTAGAGGAAACAAACTGGGGCATTTGCCTGGACACCGTCCCTACTCTATAAAAATTCAAGTGAAAGATCTAATGGCTGGATCCTCTCACAGCAGGCTGATGGGCATCCAAGAGGTAAAGCTAGGACAGATTCTGTTACGTGGGCATGTTTTTGCACTGTACTCATAACTGGTGGCTTTATAATCCTCTGACCTTCGTGGTAAAAGCTCCAGGAAAACCCTCTGGAATGTAGCCACGTATGTTTGCTGTAGCCACAGGAGCAACTTCTGGCCTGAACACTTGCAGCCGAGGCACCACATGATTCTCCAAGCAGAGTAGGAAAGCATATCCTACTGTTACCCAAAGACCTGAGATATATTTAAAAATTGCACATTGTTTTTGAGAAAATGTGTCCAGAGAGGCTGCGTAATCTCTGTCTGCTTTTGGAAGTTTTCAGAATTTGACTGGGTGAAGCTCTGAGCAACCTGCTCTAATTCTGAAGCTCTAACCCTGGTTTGAGTAGGAGATTGGGCTAGACACCTCCAAAGGTTCCTTCTAATGTAAATTTTTCTATGATTTTATGGCCCTATAGTTCTCTTATTTTGGGGACTAAGGTTGTTCATTGTACTAGACATTTTCCATTAAAGCCATTCCAATTCGTACACTCTGATGCGATGAGACACACCACATCTGCCACATTGCCCAGACTAGCAGTCCCACTCTCAGTGCATGGATAGAAGAACCACCCATTGGCATTTAGCTGAGACATTGAAAAGTACACAAATATCTGACTTGCAAACAGCACTTGCCAAAGTGTCAGCAGCAACTTGACAAGGTATCAAAGTGCAACGCTCAGATGGCCTGGGTCTTAAGAAACCTTTCCCAGAAAGGAACCTTTTACCAAGAAGTGGTTTGACCTGGCGCGGGGTCAGTGACAAGGCAGGCCTGCCAAGGCGTGCTTCACTTGTGGTGACACAGACTCCATGTGGGTCACATGCCCCGCTGGCTCACGCCACCGCCCTGGCCACCATCCCCTCTTCTGTCTGTCACTCGACAGCTCTTGGACAGCCAGCACAGGGTGTACAGGAGGGTTACCAAAAAAAAAAAAAAAAAACTCCCCCCTGGGGTGTTGAAATTCTTGACATGAATTTTGCATTATAGCAAACATGCTGAGCAATATTATTTTAATGTAATTTTGATGTGGTAACTGGGAGGTAAATCCTATTGCCTTGAACAGGGTTTAAAAAAAAAAAAAAAAAAAAATCTCTCATAAAAATAACTCGGGAGACTCCTCACACCAAAGCTGGAAATAGCAGAGAAAGCTCCACCTCCCATGCTGGCTGAGAGGGGCCTGCGCGGTGGGGAGGTACCTCTCCTTGCTAAACCTCCTGGTCATCAGTTTGCATTTCGACTACATTACCGTGGGGCTCCCCGAAGCCGTAGCTGCTCTCTCGGAGGCACTGCGGGCTCGCTAGCGATAGAACAAGGTGATCCAGTCAGCCATTTAGTGCTCACAGCGAGCGGCGCAGGAAACGAGCATCCGCCACACCGGAGACAAGCCGTGGAGGTGGAAGGAGATGGTGGTTAGATGGTGTGCTGCAGTCAGATGTAAAGCAAAGCCTGATGGAGAAGTCCTAGGAGGGAGGGAGGAAGGGGCAGGATGAGAGCGTGGGAAAGAGTAATACGAAAGGAGATGCGAAGTCTTGAACAATTTGTATTAGTCAGACTTGAGAAACAGTGGTATCTGCTGAAATTCAGAACCTGCTCTAAATAGGAAACAGGTGTCGTCTTTGAATGTGCTGTAGGCAGGCTTTCTAGTTCAACCTCGTGGTGCCCAGGAGAAACACTATGATTTTTTTATATCTTACATGACAGGAGACAGAGTGGGCGGTGTGGGGGGAGTGTTGGGGAATCAGGGCAGAAGGAGTGGAAAAATTTGTGTGTGGTTTGCAAGGAAGAAGAATGTGGTTAAGATGAGGTTTTTTCCTTCTTTTTAACCCTATAACAAATCAGGGAGAATATTACTGGCTAAGGATGTTACCAGAGAAGCTAAAGAACGCATTCCTAAGCCTGATTTTTTTTTTTTTCTATAGTTTCAGAAAATGTATCAAAGTGCCAAGGTAACTGATTATTCAGCCCCTGCTTTGGCATTGTACAATACAAACAAGCGCCACACAGCATGGATTGAAGATTCAGAGAGAAAAAGCTGTTGGGGTTTGATAGTGTTTTGGATCTCAGAGAAATCTAAAAATACCAAATACAGCCGGCACATGTGCAGTGCTTTAGCAAGCTGAACATCTGGGAGTATTCTCAAACACTCCCCTTTTGTGTTGGTTGTTACGCTACCAGAGATCAGCAAAGTGTAGATGAAAACTTAGTGGACTTTTGTAGTGCTTCTAAGTTCAAATCCGAAGACATTAAATACAGTAATGGGGAAAATTAATATACGCCAGTTCACAGCCCCCATTTAGTCTAGTCTTAGAGGACACTTGTTTGTGCATCTCTCTAGTGCTGCATCTCTCCAGTTTTCTGGATCAATTATGCTCACTGTGAAAGTATATGCACATTTAAATGTGTACATCGATATTTCCCTCATGGTGTAACTGAGACTTGTGGAATGCTTTGCAAACTCAAAATGAACTTCACGCAATGAAGTAGAAATAGTAATCATGTCACCCACCATTCAGAGACATGACTTTTGTTGACACAGTACTTGCTCTTGATACAGCGATGTCAATGTAAAAAGCTTTCCTGTAACTCAAAAGTGGCAAAATAAAGATCCAGGTCCAAAATAAATAAGGCATGTTTGCTATTCTATAGAAGGAGTTTTGCTATAGACTTCAGTGAGATGAGGATTTCATTCAGTCATTTGATTTTTACTTATTAATTTATATTAAATGATCTTATTCAATAAGACTATTTAAGGGAGTAACTACAGCTGTATATCTCTAGGTGTCATGCACACTTAACAGCTAGGGGCCAAAGAGTATAGCATCTGCACAAGGCTGTTTTTCAAGTCTTAGGCAAATAGCATAAGCTTGGAATCTTCTGGATCAACCAGTAACTTTCCCAGACAGATACATATTAGAAGCTTTTATCAGTTAGAAGGGAATAGGATTGTGCCAGGACTGAACAGCAAAAGGGAAAAGGGTGTGAAATGGCAGCAGCCAAGGCCAGAATCTGATTTAGAGGGCCTGGAGGCTACCCAAAATGAAGGGGGAAAGCCCCCTACTTTTTTTTTTTGTTATTTTTTAATGCATCTTTCAAATTGTTCAGCCAAATGACTGCTATTTTTAAAAAATATATCAATATAGGCTCCATGTTAAACAATGCTATTTAAAAAAGAAAAACAGGGTTGCTTTGAGCTAGTTAAGTGGATCTTCTCTTTGAATTCTGATTTTCTGCACATCCTCAGGTAGGCAGTCAGCACTATCTCCACGAAAATAAACATGTATGGAAATAATACCCAGAGGACAGATCAGCACAACACCCCCAGGGTCACCCTGTGATGGGCTGTAAGTAAACACAGAGCTATGGAGAAGGCCAGCCAAAGAACTTCTGAATAGTCTCCGCTGTATACTTGTTTCAACAATGAAATTACTTCAAATTTCAGAGGGATGAAGACAAGGTAAGAGCATGACAGGGTATCCTGTTTATCAAGGGCTTTGGCTTCCATATGGCTGAAAGGTATTCTAAGAAATGGCGTCATCTTGTAAGATGAAAACAAACCATATTGGACAAAACCATGTCAGTGAATAGTGCCATATAAAATGATTTGACAAGACCTCCACTGACTGACAGAGAAATCCCTGAGGATTTACAGAGAAAACATATACTAAAGGTATAACTTGAAGGATATATTCATTCCACAACCAACATCTTCCACATGCTAAGTAAAAATTTGGTCACCCTTTTCCAGTGATGGATGCTCTTCTTTTGCAGGCTGGCCTGCTTACACAGTCACTGAGAGGCAAAGATAGAGCAGGCAAAGAGATAGGAATACCCACATCCATGCAACAAGGCAAATCTTATATTTGAAGAGAATGCATGTGCAGATTTTTATGTACTCTAATCAGAATCAGCAGGAAATTTGCACAGACCCTGTGAGCCATCACTTAAAGAAATATTTTGATTAGAACATGGCAACTGACAAAGACAATACTTCTTGAAGCTCAAGTATTTTATAACATCAGTTTAGGGTCTGGCAAAGATTGAGCTAAGTAGAGAGGTGCCCTGTGTAGTTGTGTAGGCTACTACACCCAACCCCACACCACAGGACACCACTGGTTGAGTATATTCCCTGGCTCAGTGAAGGTTCTCTGCAGACCTGCATCAATCTTTATAACTATTTTAATAATGTAAATCTAGCTGGGATGGACTTTCCAGTGGTATTTGCCACTGATTTATTGAAGTTAAGAATTTTAATTAAGGTACTCATCAAACAGTAACTGCTTAGAAAAGTCGCTAATTGTTTTTGTGTGTTTGCCCTTGACATGGTGCCTTTGGGCACCATTTACAACGGTTGTTGTAAATGCTCCACAACCACCAGCAGCTATTGAACTCAGACCCAGTGAATCAAAACCACTGAATTCCTCCCACCATCAAAAATGAGGAGGCTCCGCAAAGCTGCTAGGACCAGCCACAGAGCATACATTGGGTATTACATCCTCACACACAAAATGGTGGCCAGGGAGCTGCAGTTTGGCTTTCTCAGTTCCCTTTCCCTAGAATCAAAATAGAAATAAACAAATAACCTTTTCCTTTCTTACCCCTCTGCCCCCAGTAAAGACACCAAAGCGAGATCAGTGTAAAACTGAACAATAAATTAAATGGAATATTTGGGGGGGGATCAGGTGTTCCGCGTCCAGATCATCTTTAAAACCTCAATAGGGAGAGTTACAGGCAAGCTGCAAAAGCTGAAGAATGGCCAGATCACAGGATTTGTAATTAGAGTGAGTACATGGTGCTTCCTCGCTGAAAAAAAAAAAAAAAAAAAAAGAAAGATGAGCAGCTGTCTCAGCAATATTAGAGTCAGCGAGGACTCCCAATGAAATCAGATACTGGTCTGCAGAGAAAGTGAGTACCGTACATCCATCAGGCGGGCATGTGTCACAGCTAGTTGAAGAGAAATGGCTTCTAGAAAGTTAAGCTTCCTCTGAAACCTCAGCACATCTATTAATAAGGGAGAATGAAAAGAAGGCTAGAAAATAAACTAGAAATACAAGCAGTAGTCACCTGAGGCTGCACATGATTAACTTCACTAAAGCACATTACATGCCTCTACAAGGAGAAAAATTCAAAGAAATATTTTATTGCATTAGATAACAGTAAAAATAAGCTGGCGTGGCTCACATGCCCATGTGTAACAGTTTCAAGATTCAGACAATTATCTGGGACCTGATTCTGGTTTTACACCAGTTCTATGTTGGTATAACTGCATTTATATCGGAATAAGTTTCAATGGAGTAATTGCAGACATCCATCAATTTAAACAGACACAGATGCTCCCAAGCTTTTGTCTAAGCTCCGAAAAAATACTAGGGCTTGTCTGAAGAACTAGGACTTCCAAATTTTACCCTGTACAGTGCAAATATTATTTTACTCTCGCAAAGAAATGTCTTTAAGATGGTCAGTAAAGGAGCCTGGGAGCCAGAAAAATAAGCAACGCAGTTTTCAATAGATGCTGACACGAGAGGTCTCAGAGACGGGGAAATTCACACAACTGGCTCTTTTCTCTGTCTGCTCTGCTGCTAGCACTATGCCTCATATCTATTCTGCATGGCAGACCAGCTTCACTCTCACTCCAGGACCCCATCTGCCAGACGTAGCTGGTCACTGCCGTATCGGCAGCTATCCCTTGGAGACAGTAGGGACAACACGTATCTTCCCCTGGCGCATCCCAGCTGAGACCTGCTGTTATCACTGCCCGGCAAACACCGCGGCAGCCAGAGGCGCAGACCTCCCTCCTTGCCTGGCATGCTCTTTCTCTTCATGTTTCCTAAGGTCTCATCACCCTTTCAAGCTGTGACTCAGAGGTCTCCTTTGCTGCCACCTAAGTGGGTCCCATAACGTGCCGACAGCTGCATCCACCTCGTGGATGTCAGAGAGCGGGCGCGAGGGGCAGAGGTGCTAAGAGGTACTCGGGGCCGATGGGCTTCCTCTGAAGCCACACCATGGGGCCAGCAGCGAGCAGCGAAGATGGAAACATCAACCCTTTTTTTTTTTTTTTTTTTAACCACTGTGAACTTTTATTGTGTCTGTGTTTCCATAATGTTTCTAAACAATATTATGACCCGAAAGGGAAACAGAATTAAGTTGAATCTAATTTAAAGTGCTTTAAAAACAGGTAATTGGCAAAGCAGACTAACAAAATTACATGCCTGCGGGACGAGGTGCTTTTATTTCTCTTCAGCAGGGAAACAGACTTCCATGCAGTGCTGTGCCTCTTTTTTCCTCTTGCAGGCAGGAGAACAAGAGAAGTAATAGCATCAGGCAAATGTTATTCTTCCTTTGCCTTGAAACACACACCGCTTCCCAGGCAAGTGAAATTGGTACCGCTCTGCGACAGTCAGATAGCAATTAATCTGTGTTCCCTCCACAGCTCAATCCAATGGGGCTCCCATCTGTCCTCCCTAAAATGCACGGCGGGCTGGGAGCCACAGGGAGATGAGCCGTTCTCGCCGTCCCTTCTCGTGCAGACGGCATCGCTGCGAAGCCTCGTGCAGCGGAGGGGCTGAATGGGCCATTGTAGCCCCTCTCAGTCCCAGGAAAGGAGGACTTTGTCAGCGGGACTGCGCCAAAGAGCTTGGCACTCTCTCCCTTTCGGTTGCATAAGGCAACTGCTTAGAAACTGGTGCAGGGACATAAGCTGGGCTCGAAGGCAGAAAACTGCCCAGGGCTATGACTGGCATAGACAACACTTGTCCTGCAAACAAACCCTTCCACTTGAAAGACAGATGACAACAGAATAAAACACCAGCTCACAACTGTACAAAAAAACCTCACTGACAACTTACATCCTTCCTGTGGGTGCCTAAGACCTGAACTTACTTAAAGATTCACAACCTAGTAAAACTACTGTAGCTCTGGAAGAGAAAGTCAGCATGACAGTCTCGGGGCCAAGGACAGGTGAAGCTCCCTGCAGGTTAGCCATGCGAAAGCCTGGCATTTCACCAAAGCCACCAGCCTAGGCCTCCTCTGCAGCTGCCCAGGACCAAGCAGCAGCACCGTGGCGTGACCCACCTCATGTGGACCACTTCTCTGAAGGTGGTCACCTTTCTCTCACTTCCCGTTGAGAAGTTCAGATTCTGGTCCACATCAGATACCTGATTTTCCATGGCCCAGACTAGGGGAGATGGATCTTTCACCTTCTGCTTGGATCCAAGCTTCTACAGTGAACTTCTCCTCTTACTGCTAGTTTTTCACCAGATCATCATTTTTGGTCCCAATTTGACACACTGACATGGTTCAGTAGCAAAATTTTTTGTAGGGCTTTTTATCAGTTGTTCTTATAAGCAGTACGGATTAATTATATGGTATGAATTTACACTGCATGTCACAAATTTTAGGCTTATGTGTTTCCAGAAGAGCAAGCATTCTGAATTTGCCAGGCAGACAGCTGCCTTCTCACTCACAGGTCCACCCATGTAGTCCACCCAGCCCCAGCAGCAGGCATAGTGTGCCCTCTGTTACAACACCCCAAAGCGGCAGAATTTTCCTGTTAACACAATACGACAACTTCATTTCTAATGATCTCGTAATGCTGTGCTCTAATTGAATTTTTTATTTCTTTTATAGTATTCAATCCTGCAAAAAGAAGCTGCAAGATGAGCTTATAAAGTTTTCTACATTTGTCTGTTTTGTTTATAAAAAGAGTGTATAATGACATATGTTCTTTGAACCAGCTCTTAGCAATTAAAGTTGTTTGCTAATAAAAGTTTGTTGGTTTCATAATACAGACAGAAATGTGTAACTGGGATATACAAGCAAACTTAAACTCATACTTCAGGCTAATCATTTGTGTTCCTCACTTCATCTGTAATGCATTGCAGAATATCTTACAAAAAATAGTTTACACATACAAAGCTACAAAAGAATGCTATTAATATTTAATTAATAACTAGAAGACTCATCACACAGTCCCAGATTTTGTAAATTCGTCTGTATAAAATGTCATAAAGACAGGCAAGCTAGCACATCTACGTTGATAGGCTTGCTTACAGGAACAATTTTTGACAATAAAAGAACTTACTACAGTGCTGGCTTTATCGGTGTGGTACTCTTGCAAAATAAAACGGACTTCAAGAATGCTGAATTTTAACCTATGAGACAAAGTCAGGCTGAGAAAACAGTGTCAAGTGAGAAGTTTGTAAAGAAAATCCAATTGAAAGAAAAGGCTTTTAATGAGGTATTGCAGAGAACGGAAACACCTACATACATCAACCAAGTGAGGATTTTTTCCTTTGTCCAATAAAAGGAGGTCATATTACAAGAGCACACTGCATAATCAGCTGAAGAAAATGCACTAGTTTATTTTCTGCTTGATGAATAATTAACATGCAGTTAATTAAGAGGAAAGATGTATGCTAATACATTCAATAGTAAAGTTTTCAGCTACTCCTATACATGTTTTAGCAAATGAATGTGTGCAAAATAACTTATTTTGCAGGAAAAGGGTACTAGTTGAAAACATCAGCTGTGCTTAAATATAATGCCCATTATATGTTATCGTTTCACGACTAGAGAGAACTTGTAGTTACAGAAAGTGTACTACAAAAACTCTGTATCTTCCTGCACCAAATTACATAAAAGCAAGCAGAATCCGATTGAAATTCAATTAAAAATGAGATAAAGCAGAAGCATAGACCTCGCTTATATATGGGACTTCCTCCAGCTTCATCCTTTGCATTGTCAAAACTCAAACAGACGGAGCAGAAGGAGTGCATTCAGTTCTGAAACTGAAGCCAGAACAACAAGCAGAAGATCCAGGCAATCTGCTGTGTTCCTCACAAGGAGAATTTACAAATAGTGGGAATGTTTTTAATTGTCCGTCTCTCACAAAAAGAAAGGAAAATAGCTTAATGGCAACACAAACTTTTAAAGTCAGACACATCTAGGAGTATTGTTATTACTCCGTGTACAAACAACAGGTGTAAAAATTCAAACACCAAAACCCAACATACTGTAAAATCAGGAGGGGGGGGAAAAAAAGCAAGTCAAACTGAGAGAAATACCAGGGTAGATCTACTTCTGTAAGTAGCCATAGATCCAGTGAGTAATATGGTACAAAATGCTTTCTTAGGAGTTACTGCAGCTGAACAAACTTCTTGTTCACCCTTCTTCCCTACCTGATCCCAAGTAGACCCTACCACACATTTATTCGTGACCTGTGAAAATATTGTCCATGAAAGATGTGGTTTTTATAGACATATGAATTGCAGCTTGTATGCATGCTTTTGGTTCATGTCTTTCAACAGGCAACCGTGAACCTCAGTGTCTTTCTAAATAGGTGGTCTAGGCCCTGAAATTTTATAAAATAAAGCAGATGTATCTAAAATCTGATTTGGTAGTATAAGGTACCAACAAAATGTCCTCTCTGTCCTGTTGGCAATCAGTGTGATTTCCCTTCCTCTTACTAGCTATAATGCAATTATCCCAATGCAACTTTGTGGGGATAGGATAGGTTTCTACCATTTGTAAGTACGTTGGGGTTTGCAGCCATGCTCAGGACAATCTTCCATGTAATAAGCAGGCTCCAAGGTGCTCCACAGCATCAGAAATGGTAGGTACTGACTGAATTTTGATGTGGCTGTAGCACTTACCAAGGAATGGGGAAACAAACTTTTTCCCAAACCCTATTCTGGACATTTATTTTGTCACAGTTATGTTCACATACTGTGACATTCACGTATATGCTGTGGCACAGGGCAAAGCATATGCGACTCATACACAACCGACCTTTTGTGCCCAAGCAAATGCATATTGAAAAGGGAGCAACTATAAAACCTATATATTTAAATGTGAATATTATAATATCATCCTCATAATTATCATTCCCCTTGCTAGTTTCCAAGATGCTCCGGGAGGATCAAAACACAGCTGCTTCCCTACTGAGAATTTTCACACTTATACCAGCCCCAGGTTTGTTTCCGTCCCGGCCAACAGACGGCACGGAGCTGCTGGTCCCTGGGCATGGCAGAGCTCTGACTGTTGACTGTTACTTTCAAAAGAAGGCTAAAAACTGACAGGCTGTTTGAATACAACTTGGGAGGAAAAGGGAAAAGGACTTCACTCAATCCAAATGGTGGTCTTGCAAATCTTGACTGTTTTCCTTTAAGCCAACTCCATCTAGCAATTTTTTCCCTCATTTCTACAAGAACATCAGCATTTGAAACACCAGTGTGGGCTTAAGGAGAAGACGGATTTTCACCATATGAACTGTATGCATAATTTCCAGATAGGAAATGGCACGTTACTTTATTCACATACATTCACATTCATTTATTCACATGAAAAAGAGTTCATATTCTCAGCTATGATTGACATAAGGTACGAAGAGGATTTCTTCTGGAAAAAAAGCAAACAAATTACGAGTAGTAGAAAGCAATAAGGTTGTTTATTAACACTCTTCTATCTTCACCCTCCTGCCCACCCCATCACCCATGAAATGGCATTCCAAATCCTTGACACAAAATGGTAATATATAATATCAACCATACGTTCTCTGCCATTCCCATCTGAACCTCCAGCACTGCAAATGTAGTCATCTTCTTTCCACAGCGGGAAATAGCAAACATTCATACTTGTGCATTACCTTTATTTGGCACTCAAACCCCTGTGAAGCAGAAATTTTGCCATTTAACACAATCCCAGCCTCACAAAATACAGCCTTTCTAAGGATAAAGAAAAGCCTACAGTGTCTGAACAGATTCAAGACACTTTACTAGCATTCTTGCAAGGCTCCTGTTTGATTTGCATGGTGATGGAGGTTAACTACCCTGAGCAATGGGAGGAAATCAAACTATGATCTTATATGCACAAATATGCATAGGTTGAATTTTTTAATTCATTTCCTGGAAGATTATTGGCAATGCCTATAGTAACGCCTATTTTGTTAATTTTAGCTTTTATTACAACCATCTCCAGGAAACAGCAACGTTCCCAGAGATACTCCTTGAGCAGAAAAGAAACTACGTTCCCGGAATACATTTCTTGTTGCAAATTATTTACCTGAGGCAAAAACATTTATCAGCCTTTCTAATTTGGTGGCATAGCACAAGCTCCTGTAGCATAGTGAACTCAACAATTAAGTGGTTGCACTGTTTGGTGTTCAAAAGCATTATACAAGCAGTACTGAACGCAAGGGTAGTTTTCAGCTGTTTACATCGAGGGACAACATTATGCTCATATTACTTGAGCAAGGTCTGGCACTGAATAAAACAAGACTGATTCCTTTCCCATGGTTCGGGTCAGAGATCAGGAAAAGGAATTTAATGAAAAATTTAGTCAAAGTAAAATTCAGCTGCATGTTACAAAGATCTCAAAGTTTATGAAGAATTGCAGGTAACTTCAAAGATTATGGGATAGCTGTGCTGGAATCCCAAGGTGCAAATGCCCACCCACAGCGTGGCACAGGTAGGAGGAGCGATAGCCCATTCTCTGAGGTTCAGTAAACTTGGAGCAATTGTAATTAATCTTAAGTGACTTGTGATGCAGTATCACTGTAGCACAGGGAGGTGTTCCCAGGAGAGAGAAGTAATTTAGTGCCTCGTGGAAAGTGCCCAGAGACATGAGAGAAGTCTGACTTAGCAAATGTCATGGTGCATATAGAATGACTAGAGGTGAGCCAATGTCCTGCTGGTGACACCAAGGACAGGATTCCCTCCTGCCTGTTTGCTAGTGATAGATACAAAGCACTTTCCACTAGTTAGGGAAAATTCCTCCCCTACTGGCATTATCCCCTCCCTCTTTGTTTTATAGATTTTAAAATAAACATGTCAAGGGAGCAAAGAAGTGTTCACATGGCAAGAAAGCTCACAAGGGTCCGTGCCAGCTGGGTCATTTCCATCGAGATGCTTATGGCACAGAGGACTTGTGTGGTATGTCCTCAGGGACAAAACTTCCCAAAGGGATGCAGAGAACAAAGATGGGATGGAGGGAGTGGGCAAGGGCTTCTAAGCTTCCTGCAACAGGCAGTCTGCATACGGATGGCCCACAGGGAAGGCCATCAGGAAGCTCTCTGTGGGTGCCATCGGTGCAGGCAGAACAGCTCAGCACCGTGTGGAAGCAGCCTGAGGTTGAAACGGCAGCTGGGAGGTATTGTTCTGCACTGTGAGAAACTGGGATTAGGTTCTGGCGGGGATTTGGTGATTCATTTCCCCAGAAGATTCTCATTTAAGACGAACAGAAATTTTTTAAAGAGGTAAATGTGTGACGCTTGGTAGAACTTAATTAATTAAAGTTGGCCAGAAGCCAGACCATCTTGGTCTGTGATTGTTTCTGCTTTTGTTAGCTGAGGAACATTAGACTGGTTCAATACTTCCACTGGGAGCACTGGCACACATGGCAGGTGCTCAGGGAAGTGCCGTTTGCAAAAGGGCTCTTCCCTGTGAGTCCAAAATGGATCATGAAAAGACTGAGTAGCGTGGGGAATCACTGAGCCACTGAGCATATCTCCTTTCGGAAGAAATGCTATCTATTATTTACAGTCCTCGTAGGCATGCGGGCTGTAGAACCATGTGGATGAGAGAGACCCAATCCTGCCTTTGAATAGCTTTAAAAGTAAATTTTGACATGTTATAATATGATGTGATAGGACAGGATATGATATGATATGATATGATATGATATGATATGATAGCAAGACAGACAGAATGGGTTTAGGGAAGAAGGGGAGGGAGAAATCAACAAGATGCTCTGTCATTCATGATAAATATATATATGTAATTGTATATATATATACCATAGAATCATATATCATATCACATATGTATGTCTGTTATTTAGCTGTGTAACTTTCACTTCCTCTGTGTGTGTGTCTTTCCTAGCTGAGAGTGCGACGTTCTGCTCCTGAAATCAGTGTCCTTAGGTCCAGGGCCTGCTCATGGTGATCTCTCACCCAGAAGTTTTAGGTTACTGGTATGGCCTCTCATGC